GCCCTCAGAAAGAAGCCAGACCGACGTTGCCACTCATCAGCAAAGGAGCGACGCAGGCAGCAGGTATGGCATCGCAGTGGCAGCATCTGGGCCACCCGGCCGCCTCTCCCCGACCGCCGTCGCCTGTCTATGCGATACGACCGCAGGGAGATGGCGTGACTCGAGCTGGGCGCAGATGTCTGCCGCAGTTAAACGTCTCCAGTGAACCGTCGCTCTTAGAGCCCATTGGGGCACCACCGCCGCCCCCTCCGAAGCGTTGTTCCAGATGCCCTGACAATGTGTAGCTGCTTGAGCCCGTGCCAGGGATTCTAATCTCCCACCTGCCGTGTGCGGAAAGCTTTGGAAGCGCCAACAACCATGAGCATTAGGGGGAGGTGATTAAAGGGCCCAGAACAAAGCCTTGTTCCCGCAAGACTTGGCACGCGTACGCCCTCGTCACTTACTCTTTACTTCACAGGGGTCGCTGTATGTCACGGGCGTTACCTGTGTCTGCGCTTTGATTACAGGTGAATGGGCCGGGGATACCCAATGCTAACGTGCAACAAAGAGAAGCCGCTGCTCACACCTGAGGACCTTTTAATCTGCCCGGATCAGATCAGAGACCCCAGCGGGTCCATTGAACAAACACCGTCTGCTGGGGCCCGGGTTCACATGAGGTGCTGGGGAGGCACATAAGGTGCTGGGGCCCGCTCCTGATTCATCAACAGACGTCAAATCTATAGGGCTCTCGGATTAAAGTAAACCGGTCATGGCAGATACAGTCATGGGCAAAAATATTGGCACCCTTGCATTTCTGTCAGATAATGCAACGCTTCGCGCAGAAAATTGTTGCAATGACAAATGTTTCGGCGTTCCAATGTTTATTTCTTTTGTACATCCAGCCGCAGAATCTTGCGCCGGCAGATGAACACACAGCCCGGTGACCAGGCTATGTGCTCATCTGCCGGCGCAAGATTCTGCAGCCAGCAGCTGAATGTAAACAGCCGTCAGTGGGTCTGATATCGGTCGACCCCTACTAGTGATGGCAGTGAAGGGGAGCCTCCCCCCACGGCCCCCCTCATCTGCCCTTGGTTAGATTCCGCAGCCAGCAGCTCACACTCGCCGTTTCTATGCATCGCTCAATCACTGGCTGGATGAGCTAGCCCAGGGGTAGGTCAATGGCACCGCAGCCACTCCCCCCCGCCCGCAGTGCCATCAGACGTGTGGCAAAACATTGCCTGTGTTCCGTTCCACTGCAAATGCACAAAATGCTGCATGCTCTATTTTCTGTGTTTGCAGTGGAACAGAACGCAGGTAATGTTTTGCCACACGTCCGATCGCACTGTGGGTGGGGGGGCGTGGCTGCGATGCCATTGACTTCAATGCACCGCCACGCCACGCCCTCTCCCGCCCCAGAACGAAGGGAGAAGTTTTGTGAGCGATTGCGGTGCGTTCCAGCAGCTCCCGCTCTGGAATGCAACGCAATTGGTGTGAACTGACCCTAAATCTTGTGCTTTTCTACAGGGGCGTAACTAGAAATCACAGGGCCCCATAGCAAAATTATCAATAGCCAGGCCCCTCCCCCTCGATTGCCGGGCCCCGCCTCCTCGATCACTGCCGATGACGGGCCCAGCCACCTCCTGCGAAGCTGCTGGTTGTCACCAACTCAGCAGCGTCCTCTCAGCCGCCAGTGACAGCCAGCAGCCTGGCTGTCCGAGCAAGATGCCATAGCGACCCAGGCGGCCCGCATGGCATCAGGGAGATGTCCAGGCCGGGCCTCGCCGTGCCTCGGGCCCCATAGCGGCCGCCTGGGTCGCTATGGTGATTGTTACGCCACTGCTTTTCTATGATCTATGAGCTGCATTCTGCGTTGCGTCACAATAGCGGCTTTGTCCATGTGTCTAGTTTATAAATGTTGAGATTAGTATTGTTCCTGTGTGTAGAAATGTCACCCGGCTACTCTGCAGTAAGTGTTCATATATTCTTCCAGCTACAAAACCCAGAACCATCTACAAGAACACGGACGTCTCTCATTCGGTGAAGACGCAGAAGAGAGGAAATCACAAATCTCAGCCTGCCGCCTCTAGTGACATGACGCCGTGGGTGAAAGCCTCGCCCTCAGAGACCTCCCTCACTGCTCTAATGGGAACCGCCCCGTCTCCGGGGATATATTTCGACGACGTGGCGGACCAGCGGCACGGGCAAAACCCCCCAAAGGACAACGTCGCTCCGGAGCAGCAACTCCTGAAAGACAAAACTCAGAGCCGAGCGAAGCCGAGGGGAAGGGCCGGCATCACCAAGAGACGGACCGCAAACAAGTTTCTTGGCATCAAGCTGCCTCCGGTCCCGGCGGTGACGGAGCTCAGCTTCAGCCGGAACTTTAGCTTCTCCTTCTTTGAGCTGCCCGAGCACCAGAGCTCCCAGCACTGGCTCCAGCGTCAGAGAGCTGTGTATGTGCTGATGAGGCAGCTGCAATAAAATGATGCTGAACCACTTTCGGAGAGCATGGATTTTTTTTTAGGTAGTGGTAGGCTAACTCTGGCCTTCCAGCTGTGGTGCAACTACAAGTCCCACGAGGCATTGCAAGACTCTGACAGCCACGGGGATGACTCCCAGAGGCTGATGCATGATGGGATTTGTAGGAGTTTGCCTACCGTTGATGAGAGTAAATTAAAGGGTAGGTTTTGTTGGGCTCAGCAGGTACTGCTCACACCGTGCCATGTTGCCTCCATCCCCAGAGTAATCAGGGACTTCTTTGCTGAACCATTACCCCTTTTCACTAACAAATGACCTCAGTGTAAAGCTCTGCACGCGGATATGAAATCATCTTACATTCATTAGCTAAATTAAAAAATATATATTTTACTTACAATTATTGTTTTTCCACTTCCTGGTCCTCTTGGGCATTAGTGATGTAATCTGTGCCCAAGCATTGCATCCTGGGAAGGTGACATCAGCAGAGCATTGCTGGGAAATCTCATCTGTAATCTCACCAGATCTCAGGGAAAGGCATTTTCCTCCCCTGAGATGATGTGCATGGTCACATGACCTAGTCACATGTGCCAGAGTTCCAGGAAGTAAAGGGAGATCTAGTAACCTGCCCTTAGTAAAAATGGCCTCTGGGAGAAGACTGGGGAGGAAAAGAGAAATAAGGAATACAAAGCCGGCAATTATCTAGAAGTATGTGTTTGTAGATTGTCATTACTAAACATTTCTAAAGGTGAGTTTGTTGTCATTTCAAAGATAGGGGTGAAGTTCCTCTTTAAAGCCCATCTCTGGGCAAAGAAAAAACCAGAGCAGGCTAAATATAAGCAGATTAAACTTCAGCTGTAACACGTTGCATGCTGATGAGGGGTGAAGGAGGAACCAGGGGAGGTGCCATGGAGGAAAAGACCTCATAGAAATATGGGGGGGGGTTGTAGGGTAACAACTAACAGGGTGCAGGGGGGTGAAGAGAAGGATTATATATTGCACAAGCTCCTCCTCCAGCAGCAGACAAAGCCTTTGTATTTCCTACCAGATACATGGGATACGTCACCTGTCCTTATCGGCCAATCAGAATGAGATCCGTAATCAATCATTTCTGTACCTGAGGATCTCCTTGTCCTGTCATGTCCTGCATAGGAAGATCAGACTTCAAAACAAAGAAACACACACAATGTATTTTCTTATACAAATTATTTGTTTTATTAAAACTTTGAAATGACTAAATAACACAACACAGTTATAAATAAGAACTTCTATCGGGGGTAGCCAAACTTTGACCAACCAGCTGTGATAATACTACAACTCCCATCATGCATCTGCCTCTGGTAAACATGTCTGTGTTCTGTCGAAAGAACCAATTCACCGGAATCTGCAATTACGCCGCTTCCGGTAACCTGCCAGCAGGAGATTGACGAGTTGGCGTTAGTGAGCACGCCCTACAGCATAACACTAAAGCAGGAGGATTTCTATAGCGCAGTATCGCGCATTAACAACTCACTTGTCGAGTTCTCCAATACCTCTGAGCATGCATGTGTACGCATGCGCACCGACAGCTGTTGGAGAACTGGACGAGTATTGTAAAAATGCGGCTGTACAGAGCTCCTCCGGTCTTTCCGTTCTGCAGTCGCACGCGCAGTGACGCCAATTCGTCCAAATCTCCTGCTGACAAGTTACCGGAAGTGACGTCATTGGAGATGTCGATGAATTGGCTCTTTCGACAGAACGCCTGCGTCTTGCAATGCCTCATGGGATTTGTAGTTTCAACACAGCTAGTTTGGCTACCCCTTCTCTAAAGAGAAGAATGCATTCTCAGACTGGACATAAAGTGCATCTATGACTGACGCACTTCAGTGGCCAACCCAAGACTGCAGCAGCCAAGAAGAAAACTTGCATCACAAGGGTATCAAACAGTGTCACAAGGGACACGGGCCGCTCTGTGCCTCCAAGGCGCTGCATCATCTTCATGAACTGACAGGCTGAACATTGTTTCGGGTCAGTTTAAATGAAACCTGTACTGAAAGATGCGAAGATCCTATTTACCCCAATATGCAAAGTCTCTGGCCTCCATAGGTGCCGAGCCACAGACCAGGAACAAAGCATGCAGCAAGTGAAGTCAGTGGGAACCAATAACTCCTGATTTGCATACTTGTTCCAGGTCTGTGACTCAGAAAGTATCGCAGCCTTTGGGGCAACGGCGAGGCAAGCAGCATTTTCAAATGGACAGAGCAATGGCAGCCGACGCGTTTTCACACAGGATGCCTCCAGTCATGCAAAATGTGAACTCCCCCTTCTTGTAGGTTCTTCTTTGGTCTCTTGTGTCACCCCACGTCCATGTCTGAGCAGCGGCTGCAGCGTACTGATCAATGTCAATATTCTAACAGCGAATCCGCGCTAAATGGAGAGGTTCGGCGCGGTGCAATGGTTTAAGAATACTGATCCATGTCCCAGGTAGCTGTGCATTGCCTGCAGCAGCTCAGGTGATCCCTCCGCTCCCCTGTCCAGTGATGTCTCTACAATGCCGGTACGGACGTGTGTTCCCTCCACACTCATATCTGGGCCGGAGGTTGTATATGTAATGTAGAGAGTGCAGAATGCAGCAAGCTTCTAATGGCATTCATCAGCTGCAGGCGGGCAAACATCAAACCGAAGAGGTGAGGTAACGGCTCCTGGAAGGGGAAGGGGTGCCCAAGAACACAATGTCATTGTATGGAGGAAGAAAAATAAATCACATTGGCATTTAAAGCGAATCGAAACCCAAATCCAAAAGAGTTAAAGCTATGAAAGAAGCCTTGGACTGTCCTCCTAATTTGGACTACAAACACCTCCTCCATCTTGTTTACATAGGGAGGTGTTTTTTGCAGTCCATGGAAGATGGGAAAAGTGACAAGGAAGCGGCATTTATGGCAGGATCAACAAGTATTTTTTGTACTTGGGAGAAAATGTTTTTAGACTGAAAAAGACAAAATGATTGCAGCCATCACACCTAAGGGCTGAGAGGCTGCACTCAGGGCCGGATTTCCCACAAGGCCAACCGAGGCCTGGCCTCGGGGCAGCAGGGAGTAGAGGGGCAGCAGGGGTGTGGAATTCCTATCCCCCAGTTTCCGGTGGGTAGTTGTTTTCTACATTTAGCCCTGCTTTGGGCAAGCAGAATCAAATGTACAGCGGGGAAGCAGCCACTTGTTTTGTACAAGTGATCTCGGCAATGTCGCCAAGATCACTTGTATGCAGCCTGCAGGTCTGCCATTTTCCATGGGGGGAGTGTTGCCGGGTAGGGGGGCGCATTGGGAAACCTGGCCTTGGGGCAGTAGAGAGATAAATCCGGCCCTGGCTGCACTATATGACATTTTTGTATTTGGGTTTAGATATACCTGAGGAGAGCCACTTACTGTCACTTACCCCCAGGATGTGCACTCTGTTATAGTAGCAGCTGAAGTCCATACTGAGACTGACGAGGAATTTGCATATCTAGAACCAAAGAAATCTTCATATTAGAGAAAAAGCTCAGCCCAGATCTAAACCCAATCACTATAATCCCTTATAACCCCTTCCTGCCACCCACAGGCATATATATGAAGGCATGGAGGTGGGCCTTAGTCCATACTGCTATATATATATATATATATATATGCGTTGATGTTTTGTGTTGAGTGTTCGCTCGGTTGCGCTACCCCAGCGCTGTGACTTTGCTGTCATCAACCGCTCCCGGTCACAGAATGACAAACGGGATCTGTAGGACGGGCTTCTGATCACGTGATCACTGTGACAGCCAATCACAGTGATCACATGATCATGAAGCCCATGAACAGGTGTGAAGGTTTGTGTTCACCTTCAGCATTAAGGGGTTAATGACATTTCAAAAGCTGTTTTCAATCTTTAGATCTGCTCCTTTTATAAAAGTTTGATTCTTCCATGAAGGTCCTTATTCAGGTACTTCCTGTTGTCACCCTGCCACACTCAGCCTTGGTTGTCACCCTGTCACACTCACTCTTGGCTGTCACCCTCACCCTTGGTTGTCACCCTGTCACATGCACCCTTGGATGTCACCCTGTCACACGCACCCTTGGTTGTCACCCTGTCACATGCACCCTTGGATGTCACCCTGTCACATGCACCCTTGGATGTCACACGCACCTTTGGTTGTCACCCTGTCACATGCACCCTTGGTTGTCACCCTGTCACAGGCATCCTTGGTTGTCACACACTCACCCTTGGTTGTCACCCTGTCACATGCACCCTTGGTTGTCACCCTGTCACAGGCATCCTTGGTTGTCACACTCTCACACTCACCCTTGGTTATCACCCTGTCACATGCAAACTTGGATGTCACACGCATCTTTGGTTGTCACCCTGTCACACTCACCCTTGGTTGAAACTGCAACACTCACTCAGTCTACTGTATCTACGAAGGAGAAGCGTTGTCACACGAAAAGAATACTACAGACCACCTCCTTTCCTCTTCGTCATACAATGGGGAGTGTTCTGTAGTCCACAGACAGAGCTGAGAACAATAACTGAGTACAGCACATAAAGAGCACAGGAAATTATCATCTCACTAGATTTCTGGCAGGATCAACAGGTTTTTTTTTTTACACTTCTCATACAGATACAACAAAACTCTTTCATTGGTATATTTAACAGACCAAAAGGGAGCAAATAAGAGAAGTTGATGGCTGGGGTTTACATATCATTTATCCGTTTAAAAAAATACCAAATTGGTTAACGGGGACAGTGGTCTTGTCAGGGATGGACAGACGCCCAACAAAACAGTTCCTAATGGTACACTCCGAAACTGCCATGGAATTGATGTTACCCAGTCACCCAGCCTGAGCAAATCTTGTATGGCATGAGTTTTAAAGGGGTAGTCCATGTTACTGATATTCTGTTCGGTGGGTTTCTCTATTCTGTCCACCGACTTTCCTTTTTTGGGGGGGGGGGAATTTATCATTGATAACGACTCTCCTTCATTGGCCTTCTTCCTAAAGTATACCTACAGAACATTCAAAGGTGTCAGAGGTATGTCTGCGTCTGGAGTTCAACTAGGTTCAAGGCCTTGGCCTACAGATGTGAGTATCAGCATACTGGATCCTCCCTCTCGCCTGCACACAATAGATCCTTTCCCCTGAGACCTCTTACCGCTTCAGTGGTGGCGGTGACACGGATGCCTGGGGACGTCAGTGAGATCTGTGCCGCCTCGCTTAGCACCTCTGGGAACGTCATGATGTAATTAAATAGCAGGAGCCATTCTCCCTGTGAGACAAAACAGCAGACATGAGTGACATATGTGTTCTCCTTAATAAGGGACCATTGAAGACAGAAAGTGGGAGCTATTTATATTGACTGTTCCTGCAGTTTCCTAGTACAGCCAGTAGATGGCGCTAGAGGCAATTGCATTCAGAGCATGGCACAGCTATGGCAGTATGTTGGTTATTAAACCGGTATTAAAGCTCTTCACCAATTTGGATGTCAGTAATAATAAATGTTTTGTTCCAGAAATTACCCGAAACCTATTTTAAACTGGCTTCCTCTGTACCGCTTCCCCGAACACTGTATAACATTGTATTTGTAATATGGGGACACAACTAAACCGTCCATTGGATCTGTATCTCATCAGGATGTCCCTTGTACCATACAAAGACTGGAAGAGCTAAAGGAGATTGTATACAGCTATTGTACAGGAAACTAACACATACTGACACTGCAAAATTTGGGCTGGACGTCTAGGTGTCAATCATCTCTGCTCATAAAAGGGTTAAAGCAGAACTCCAGCTAAACACAACAAGATAAAAATGAATAGCTGCAGTCTTATATTTGGCCCACTAAATGTCCCCAGTCTGATGGTCTGTATCAATCAAACCACTTCCTCTGAGATCTGGTCTTCCTGGACCCGCCACCATCCTGTTACTGGACATCTCATATTTCTGTCACTTTGCGCTCTCCTCCTATCAGCAGGCTTATTGTCAGCACATGAACTGATTGGTTCCTTGTGCTGCTTCTTCCTCTAAGGCCCCATTCACACTGAGCGATTTATGGAGCGATTTTTGCAGCGATATCGCTCATATTTCCACGCGATATCGCTCTATGTAGCTTCTCCAATCCATTTCAATGGAGCTGTTCACATCTCGTCGCTCAATATCGCTCAATATCGCTTGTAGCTCGTCGCTGGTAGCTTGTCGCTCCTACATGACCCTTTTTTCGAGCGATTTTGAGCGATATTGCTCCTGATTGCATACAGCCCAATAGGAAAAAGTTGCGCGATGTCGCGCCACACGTCGCTCAATATCGCTCAATATCGCTCGTCGCGCAATATAGCTCAAAGTCGCACGATTTTCATGTCGCTCAGTGTGAATGGGGCCTTACACTCCAGCCCTGCTGTACATAGACTGTAAGAGGTTGATGCCAGGTCACATACACATCCTTACACTGCTTGCATTTAAAATACATTTTGTGATGTAGTAATGATTACAGAGCTGAATTATTTGTGTCATTTATATCTGCCTGAAGTTCAAATTTAAAACCCTTGTTAGGAATGAAATCTCAATATCCTTACCTCCTCGCTCAGGCTGGAATAGTTAAATTCAGCAGCCGATGGAAATTCTGGATACAATCCTGAAAAAGGGAAGAGAACATGATGGAGTAGGATCACTCTCACAATATCCCCACCCCTACCACTCCCACATTATCCCCGCCCCTTACCACTCCCACATTACTCCCTGCCGCTTACCACCCTCACATAACCACCGACCCTTACCGCCCTCACATTACCCCCCGAGCCTTACCACTCCCTCACATTACCCCCCATCCCTTATCACTCCCACAATATCCTCTACTACTTACCACGTCCAGATTGCCTCCCCCTTACCATTCCTACATTACTTCCGCCCCTTACCACTACCTCTTTATTCCTACCCCTTTCCACTACGACATAACCCTCCTTAACCGTCCCACTTTTGCCCCCTGCACCTAACAACTCCTACAATACCCCCTGGGCCTTACCACTTCCACATTACCCCCTACTTCTTATCTCTTCCACATTACCGCTTGCTCCTTACTACCGCCACATTACCCCCACCTCTTACCACACCTACATTATCCACACCCCTTACCACTCCCCCATTACCCCCGACCCTTCAGTCAGTCCCACATTATCCACACCCCTTACCACTCCCCCATTACCCCCGACCCTTCAGTCAGTCCCACATTATCCACACCCCTTACCACTCCCCCATTACCCCCGACCCTTCAGTCAGTCCCACATTATCCACACCCCTTACCACTCCCCCATTACCCCCGACCCTTCACCTCTGCCCCCTTCTGTCCACATGTAACCCTATGTACCTTGGCTGACGGCACTGTTGTAGCTGTCAAACAGTGTGGAGAGTCGGGCGCAGTTATACATCACAAATGCCCCGCTTTTTGTTCCCTTCGTTGTGATGTTTGCTTCCTCTAAGTTCAGGTTTACCTCGATGTAAATACAAAAAAAAAACTATTAATTGGATCTGAGAATAAGTGGAGGATTTATATTACAGGGGAAGTGTTGATAAAGCAGAACACCAACCAAAACCTTTTTTTTGGTATAGATTGGAGAAGGGTTAGAACCTTTGTCAGTTTCTTTCACCTTTACTTCCTGCTGTGTTCCCAGGTCAGAAACTTAGGAATTTCTCCCACTTCATTACAAATAACAATAAAAGAACACACAATATTCGCATTCCTAACCCCCCTGATTCTGAAAAGGAAGTTTGAAAGAATCAGCCCGAATGATAAATATTACTAGAGGCATATGTATTCAGGGACAGCATCATTTTATTTAAAACTACCGGATATATAGATTGAGGCTCATAAGGCCACAGCTATTGATTCAAATATAAGATGGAACATACTAAAATAGAACAATCTGAAGGTGAATGGACTTTCTCTATACCTGTGTACGATGAGGTGTTGCCATCAACTCAAATTTGATTGCAGCCGAGGTGAGAGAGGTAATAATTTCATCCCAGCTGTCACCTGCATACAGAACAGACCAATCATCAGGCACCGGATGCCAATATGTATAAAGAACAGACCAATCATTAGGCACCAGATGCCAATATATGTATAAAACCGACCAATCATTAGGCACTGGGAGCCAATATGTGTACAGAACAGGCCAATCATCAGGCACCGGCAGCCAATATGTATGAAGAACAGGCCAATCATCAGGCACCGGCAGCCAATATGTGTACAGAACAGGCCAATCATCAGGCACCGGCAGCCAATATGTGTACAGAACAGGCCAATCATCAGGCACCGGTAGCCAATATGTACACAGAACAGGCCAATCATCAGGCACCGGCAGCCAATATGTGTACAGAACAGGCCAATCATCAGGCACCGGCAGCCAATATGTGTACAGAACAGGCCAATCATCAGGCACCGGCAGCCAATATGTATACAGAACAGGCCAATCATCAGGCACCGGCAGCCAATATGTGTACAGAACAGGCCAATCATCAGGCACCGGCAGCCAATATGTACACAGAACCGGCCAATCATCAGGCACCGGCAGCCAATATGTGTACAGAACAGGCCAATCATCAGGCACCGGCAGCCAATATGTGTACAGAACAGGCCAATCATCAGGCACCGGACAGCAATATGTATACAGAACAGACCAATCATCAGGCACCGGACACCAATATGTATACAGAACAGACCAATCATCAGGCACCGGACACCAATATGTATACAGAACAGACCAATCATCAGGGACCGACAGCCAATACAGCTCCTAAGTGATATACAATGGCTTTTTTCTGGAACAAGTTGGTGGTCATGTGACTTCCAGGGGTTTAGAAAACGGACGTGCCATTGGGAACTGAACACCATAATTTGTATTAGACATCAGAAGCTGCATTTCTTTTACTTAGTTTACTTTGATATGAGACATCATGGAATTATTTAGCTTTTATAGCATTACAAGTCTCATCACCCTGCGACAGGATTGTATAATGAAATAACATAAAAGCAGTGTAACCTTGTACACAGTCCCCGTACTTCATGACGGAAGCTTTGTGCATCTGGGACTTCCGCAAACTGTAAAAGAAAAAAAAAAACATTCATGTTTGTTCGAGTTAAAGCAGAACTCCAGGCAAATGGCTAAATACACAGCTGAAATGCATATAAGGGAGCCGTTTTGTATTTCTGTCCCTCCAGTTCTGAAATTTACACAGCTCTGCATTACTTTTTGTACGTGCAGCAGAGAGAGACACAGTACAACCGCACTGCACCGCGGTGTGCCCATGTCATTGTGACATTTCAATAAAGTTTTACCAAAAAAAAAAAAGAATCAGTGTGATAGTGTGTGAATGACCGCGTCGGCACTGTCCGGGCACACACCCACCAGCAGCCGAGCGGTTGAGCTGATGTGAGCAAGCCCTAAATTAAACATTCAGCAGACCATAATTGTCCTGGTGTATGGGCCAAGTCAACTCATCTTGTATACGGAGTAAGATCAGATTCACGCCATATTTTATGAACTGTAAGGGGGCAATGACGTACATAACTTTCCCATCAGAGAACTGACGAATAAGTGTGATGCACCGGTGACAGACAACGCACACGTAGCTCCAGAATGACTTACTGAAAGTACTGAGAGCAGCTGACCGGGGACTGAGGAGTGAGGACTGTCACAGGTCCACAAATGAGATGCTTCTGGAAAGGAACAGATTTACAGGTAAACATACACATGCAGTACAGACGGCCTAGCATAAAAAAATAAAAAAGCATCAACAAATGAGTTTTAACTAGGGCTGGTAATGATTAAAATTTTCGTGTTCGATTGATCGAAATTTTTTAAAATCGATTAATTGATTAACACGCATACAGATCCAACTACATTGGCCTATACACATACAGCACAGCAATGAAGTAATAAAATGAACTAGGATCACACTAATCCACCACGTTATTAATCTCACGTGCCCCACTCAATATGGCCGCCGCTTGCGTGGGGCAACTCAGAATAATAACGTGCTGGATTAGTGCGATCCTAGTTCATTTTATTACTTCATTGCTGTGCTGTATGTGTATAGGCCAATGCCTTGGCTGGCGCTCGTGCAGAAAGTTTCTTGGGCTAACTCACCGGCCCAAGTAGCTCCGTCGGCTAACGAAGGGGGGGGTGAGGAGTCCGGTGACGTCACGGACATCGACATCACCGGACTCCTCCCCCCTTCCCTCTGTTAGTCGACAGAGCCACTTGGGGTCGATGTCTGTGACGTCACCGGATCGCCGATGGGACTCCCGGAAGCCGGCGGAGAGCTGAGTTTTTATTAGCAATCAAAATAATTTTAATCAATCAAAAAGTTTAAAGATTAATCGAGTAATGAATCTTTAATTTCCACAGCCCTAGTTTTAACAAGTATAAAGCAGAACGCCGTCGTAAAAAAGACCTATAGATGAAAATAAAGGACACTTAGGACCCCTAGGCTCCCTTCCCCATGTATGTGAAAACACTACATTCATATAGCTAATGCCTTAGTTTTGATTTCATCCATGATATTCTCCCCTCTGAGAGATATACTGTCCCAGGGTGCCTGAGGGAGGATCTGTGCAGGAGCCACATGTCACATCTGGCATGTTTACCATGGGGAAGCTACTACATCTCCCATGATTCAATAGGAGTGCTTTGACGTGGTGAGCGTGTTTGCAGACAGAGCTATTTGCATAACATCAACTAAAAGACAACTTAAGCCAAAACTGTTTTTGGCTTCAGTTCTCTATTGGGTCACATCAGGACATTTACTATTGTCCTCATCGAGTCTTTGGCTGCCTAACTGATTGGCTTGATGCCAATCAGCATCAAGCCGCCTTCTTGGCCAACCAGGAACCTGGGAGGCGGATCATTACTCACCACCCGGCTTCTCGATTGCCTGGGAAGCCGGCTCCATGTTCCCCTACGGCACTGCCATTCAGAGGAAATCTTCCTCTGACCGGAAGTTCAGGGAAGGTATCGGAGCAAGTTCAGGGAAGGTACTCGCCCCAAATACTCGGTATCGGAACCAGTAATAGTATAAGCATCAGTGCATCCCTATTTGCGACCCTAGACCAAAGCGACTGCTTAACCCTTTCATTGCGGGGGGTAGCCCCACTGCCAGGGTTAACTTTTGAAAATCCTGGAGTTCTTCTTCAAATATTAATGAAGATTGTTTCTGGCCCAAGTACCTTGCTAGTAATATTCTGTGCTTCCTGGCTGGAGTTCAGCTTTAATTGGTATAACAATCACCCAAAATTGTAACCGGAGACTCAAAATTTACTAAAAACGTCAGTTAGGCAGCCAAAGACTCGATGATCTTCATGAACAGGAAAACGCGACACTATCAGAGTGGAATCTGTAACGGCAGGAAGCCTCTCATTCCATTGCTTGGTATTAACCCTACGTTCACCGCACGACAATCTCAGCCAATGAAATACTGCCCTCGGTGAGTGATTACTCATTACATCCCTTGCATGTTACTAGACTTACCGAGCTGAACTAAGCTAGCGTAGACTACACAATACAAACACATCAAACTTCTGTTTTGTGTAAAATCTGGAACTTAAAGGAGAGCTATAGGGTTAGGGCTTTTCCCCATAGTTCTCCTAAGGGTAACGGGAGGACACAAACTAGCGTCCTCCCGTTACCCAGAGCTCAGTATACCGCGAGCTGCAGCTTGCTGTATACTGAGACGCAGCTGGGAACGGATCCCGACAATTCTGTCTGGATTCACCAAGCTGCGTGAGTGACAGCTGGCTCTGCCTATCTAGAGGCAGAGCCAGCTGTAACCCGCCCCCTCCCCCGTCTGTTCCGCCAGTCAGCGCTGGAGGATTGGACAGGGAAGGGGGGGGGGGATTCCCTGCAGGGCGCCGTGAGTCACTCACGGCTCTCCTCACGAATAGATCGAGAAGTGAGCGAGCGACGTTATGTGTTCTCTCACCTCCCGATCTACTGAGACGACCTGTGACAGTTTCATTGTCACAGGTCGGCTCAGATTATGAGGCTGAGTGAAAATCACTTGCCTCATAATTCTCCTTTAAGCTGGCCATACACGAATTTCGGTCGGTTCTTGATGAACCCAACAAAATTTGCGCCGCTGATCCGTACGCTCCTGCACTCAAAATGCATCCCAATGTATCCCTATGTGTTTTATGGGCTACAGTTCTCACGTGCGCAGTCCATTCAGCTTACGACAGAAAAATACTGCATGTCACATTTTGTACGGTCAGGGAACGCAAACGCATCAAAAACGCACTGCACTCCAGCTAACATACTAACAGCCCCACTCCAGCTGGAACGCATCAAAAACACGGCCAAAACGCACTGCATCAGTAGCACCGCGTCAGTAGGACCTGATCAGGACCTGAAACTCATGTGAACAGGCCCTCTATCAGCTGATCAAAGAAGCCGGTCGGAAAATCTTCAGAAGAACAGAGCCGGCAGCCAATGAGCTGCCAGCTCTGTTCGGATATTCTGATAGCGGCCGCCGTCAGAATACAATGCAAACAGTGGGAGATTCCTCCATTAACACTGGTGAGCGTTTTCGCAAATCAGCATGCGGGTTGAAGAAAGAAAATATTACAGTGTATGGTCAGCTTTAATCACTGAGCGTTCTTTTCTAGAGGCGGACTCCAGGCAATCAGCAAAAAATACAACAGAAATACACATATGTCAAATATTTTACATGACAAAAGGATTTACAATTCGGTTAAGCCAGTCTTGTGATCCAGGTGCCCCTGAAAGACAGCATAGCTAGCTTGTGGACCTCACTGCAGACTACAATGCAGGTAAGTAATACAGCCTACTGGAGGACCCGCTATAACCTGTGCCTGGACAATAAAGGGGGAAGGATACTGATGATCTCTGTGTTACTTCTTCCTCTCCTAGTCTGAGTGCTGTTGTACAGAACATTACAGGGGCCTGTATCAAGACAGGCAGTTAAAGCTGAACTCCAGGCACACAGCTAAATGTACAGCTGAAATACAGATAAGGGGGGTGCAAAGCAATGGAATGAGATTCCCTGCTGCTACAGATTCCACTGTGAAAGTGTTGCGTCTTCCTGTTCATGAAGATCATACAATTACCTGCCAAATGATTTGTATTTCTGTCCTTCCAGTCCAGAGATTTACACAGCTCTGCCACACAGCACAGCCGTATCGGGCAGGGGAGAGGACCTGGACTTTCTCTTCTGCAGTTGAACATTCACATACATGTCTCCTCCCCACCTACGCCCTGTGACTGGACAGTGAAGAAGAAGAAGCAGGCTGATGAGGGTATCTCCTTGTAACTCTGCTCTCTCCTCCTAGTAGCATGTGTCTCTCCACTGCTCCATGAATTCTCTTTATTAATAGAGCTGAGTATTGGGTGGCTTTCTGTAGTACCTGAGTGGCGGATGCTGCTCCGGGCTCCAGCAGTCTCCAGAGAAGGTCCAGTTTCTGCTGGTGGAACTCTTCCTCGCGGCTGACAACATGAAGAACGGCGCACGGTTCTGCCCCCTTCTGATCAAAGAGATAAAACATGTATAAATATTAAAAAATGGTCAGTGTGGGGATGAATTCCACTTTAAAAAGACTCTATTACAATACACCTACCAGAGCAATTTCCTTCTAGAAAAAAGCTCTACTTATGCAGAGTAGCTCCGAAAAACCCAGATATGTGTCATATGCAAAACCCAATCATGATATATAAATTGTACAATCCCTGTGATAAAAATATGGTGCTTCCATGATTCCAGCTGGTGGTACACTTTCAGAAATTGATGTATAGCTAGTCATATTCCATCATGCCATAGCTGTACAAGTATGAATTAAAAACAAGCTGATCCCATGATGCAATGGGAGGTTTGCCATCTCCATCCATGTGTGAGATTTGCCATCTCCTTGGTGCATACTTACCTAAATTTCAGTCCCGGCCCCTATGACAGTTATCCCTGCCCATGGTCCACCTTAGGCCAGATGATTCTGCCTGCTAATTGGAGTGGCCCACCCAAACCCCACCTCTAAGTATGTGGGGTCCCCCCCCTGACCACTATTACTGCTGTAAAGGTGACACCTTGATCCTGAGACATCGCCTGGGACACAGCATCATCAGGACCGGAATACGTGATATGGGATTGTCCCAGCAAATCCGGGATAGTTGGCATCTATGCTTGATATAGATTAGTGAGTTTTCTTCCCTCATTTGGCCCCCAATAGAAAATAATCTCCGTGAAGCCGATGTGCCATTGTGGGAAAGCGGAATCAGCCATCTTGCAAGCTGTCCTTTATTCCCCAAACCTCTTTGTATCGCCTAACAAAGTCTATCTTCCATCAGCAGAGACAATATGACCAGATATCTGCGTACGTGGTCTGGATGGGTGCTGGTCAAGGATTTGGTTGCATATAAGAGGCTTATGTGCTCTGGAACTGTGGACTCCTGCGCCGGGGGGGCCATTTAGATATTCCCTTCATTGTGTTAACCCTTGTGACTGGCAGTGGAAACCTTCCCATACTTCCCTGATGGGCTCTTTCCTATAGGAAAACTGCGCTTCCCAGACCCGGGGGGCGGGGTTCCCACTCCCTTCCTGCCCTCTTCCCCCTTTCCTCTCCCTTTCTTGTCTTTCTCCTTTATTTCCCTTTTTTACTTCCTTCCTTATCTTGCTTCCTCACTTCCATCTTTTTTTTTCTCCATCCCCAACTTAGGCCTAAATCTCCCCACTTTGATTTCTCTCTATGGGACACTCCCACTCTACACGTACCCCATTCCTCCCATGGGCTCTGCCATACACGCCTGCCAAGCTGAGCTTTTGTTTTACACATTGAGGGGAGTTTATCAAAACTGGAGCAGGTGGAATCTGGAGCAGTTGAACCAATCAGCTTATTTCCTTAATTTTTAAAGCTTAAAGGAGAACTATGAGGTGAGTCAAAATCACTCAGCCTCATAGCTTGAGCCGACGTTGCACAATGAAACCGTCACACGTCGGCTCAATAGATCTGGAAGTGAGCGAACACATACCGTCGCTCTCTCACTTCTCGATCATCTTCCTGCAGAGAGCGGTGACTGTCAGTCACCGCTCCCTGCAGGGATTCCCCTCTCCGATTCTCCAGTGCTGAGTGGTGGAACGGACTGGGGAGGGGGTGGGTACAGCTGGCTCTGCCTCTAGATAGGCAGAGCCAGCTGTCACTCACACAGCTGGCTGGATCTCAACAGCATTGTCGGGATCCATCCCGGCTGCAGCGGTCTCAGTATACTGCGAGCTGTAGCTCGCGATATACTGAGCTGTGGGTCACAGGAGGACGTTAGTGTATGTCCTCCCGTGACCCTTAAGAGATCTATGGGGAAAAATACTTACCCCATAGTTCTCTTTTAACTGAACAAACTGAAGAGAAAAGCTGATTGGTTACTATGAACAACTGCTCCAGATTCTGTCTGTTCCAGTTTTGATAAATTCCCCCCATACTGTTTCTAGAAGACATTGAGACTTACTTTGTATTTCCATAGCTGTATTGTACCCCTTTCTCTTTATGTTTTCTTATGCCCCCTTCTCGTACTACTCTGTGTGGCTAAACCAGCAATACCAGAGGTACCATGACCTAAACCAAGTGGCCCCAACCTGAACCTTTTTGCTATTCTGATCTATTCTGATGTAATCTAGTGATTTTGTAATGCCGCTGCATTTTTTACGATTATTCTGCATTTTAATTTACATTTAATAATAATTCCTTGAGATAAAAAAATAAAAAACAAAATCTCTCTTATAACTTAAGTCTGGTTGAAATCTTACAAAATGTCCACCTCCACTGTACACAGAATACTCATCCAATGAACCATCGCTTGAACTTCCCCAGGCAATGGAAACAAATCCCATTTTCAGAGCAGGATGCTTCACCAAGATGGCCTCTCTTATGACAACAAGCTAACGCTCGGGTACTCACCACGGACTCCTTGACGGAATTCTCCAGCCGTGCCACATGGGTCAGGTCTTCCTCAGTAACTAAAAGCAAAAACACAAAGAAGGATTAAGCAAGCAATTGACCGACAGAATGAAGCGGCCAGCTAACACAAATCAAGCTGTGTGCCATTTGGTAGCGAGTCTGCCGCAGATTTTGTGCGCACTTATGACTTCTACGCCTGAAATCCTGGACAGCCAACCATCAGCAACGATTTAAGCACTGAGTTTTCAATGGCTCTCCATTAAAAGATAACTCATCATGGGAGACATATGGGGGCTGCAGCTGCTGAAGCTGACAGCATGATCGAATCCCGGGAAACCTTTAAGAGAAAGTCCTACCGGGAGACTGAGGGTTCAAGTCCGCTCAGTGTAACTTTCCTGAGGAACCCTAACATCCTCATTCTGAAAAATGTCCTGGCTGTTATGTCAGCAATGGCAGCCTCCACCGTTCTCTAGCACCTTGGTTCTCAACTGGTGGGTCGTGACCCAAAAGTGGGTCGTAACGCCTTGTTCAGTGGGTCGCTGCATGCCTTCCACTTTTCTAGGTAAGAGGCTCCTCAGCCTCGCCCTAGCGCAGCACTGTCAGTTCTCGTGCCAAGCGGCCATGCAAAATATGCTGCCCAGTGCAGAGTGTCAGCTTGTGGTGGTATAGGATGGGGCTATGGCGGCGAGAGAGCTCCATCCATACGTGCATTGCTTACACCCCCCCTTAATGTGTCCTGTAGAGGAGCCTGAACCGGAGTGAAGTCACATTCTGGCTCCTGGCACCTCTACAGGGCACGCAAGGGAGCTGTACAAGCCATGAATATACTGTATAGATGGAGTGCCATCACAGCACAGCAGCCCACATTGGACCCCAGGCTGAGGTTCTCATAAGGTAGGGAGACAGGATGGAATTTTGTTGGGAGTGTGTATGTGTGTGTTAGAATGTCTGAGTGTGTGAGATTGTGTATGTATGTCTTTGTGAGCCCAGTCACACTAGTACAGTGCATCAATCAAACAGTCCCGCACGATTAAGACACTGTACCACGCAATCACACCTACTACGCATTCTGGTGTGGGGGGTATGTTGGGTTGCCATTCCTTTGAATGGTACCCCAATTGCACCTCACACCCACAGTTCGATTGCCCACACCAGAACGTGCGGTACTGCAGTGCCGTGTCTTCCATTGCAGTGCAACTTGGATCGCGACTTAATGACCGAGAACAAATGTGGGTCCTGAGGTTACACCGGTTGAGAACCGCTGCTCTAGCAGGTTTCCTTTACAACGCACACTCACCTAGGAAGTGGTCAGGACATGTTTTATGTTGGCACGCTACTTTTGCTGGAGCTTACACAAGGTAAGGGCTCCTCTTATACAAGGTAACATCAGGCAAAGTAGAAGGGGCCGGGACACAGCTGAAGAATTGTAATTCAATGTATAAAGGAAAAGCTGGACATTGCACATCGGATAGAGGTGAGACGGTGTGGGCTACAGAACGAATCAAAAGCTGTTCAATAAAATTGAATGAAACAAAAAATAATCACCGACCCATCCAAAAAAATGTGAATGGAATGTAACAAGTACGACTTACCCAGGAAATGGTCGATATTGGGGTCATATCCCTCCAGGCAGAGGCCATGCTCCTCTGAGCAGGATTTCAGATGTACACGGAAGAGGACGGACGGAGAAGACTCATCTGCTGGCTGGACCGAGTCCCCACTGACACTGCAGCCGCCAAGTTCTTCCTTCAAGCAATACTTGTATCTGGAAATGGTCTGATCTAGGTCTGGTGATTCAGCAACAGAAGGCCAGGTGATCCCCAGCTGCTTCAAAAAATCGCCAACTTCCTTGTTCCTGATTGGCGGGATCAAACGGACTTGTTTCCTGGGAATCATGAACATAAAGGTCAGTTCTACATCCACTGCATCAGCTTCAGAAAATTGTTTATATGAAGAGAATACCATTCATTCATCAAATGTGAAACTTTCAGGAGGTATCAGAAGGGCTCGTTCACACAGCCGTTCACCGCCCAGATTCTGCGTCAGGTACGGCCGCTCAGTCTGTATAAACCAGGGGTAGGCAACCTCGGCTCTCCAGCTGTGATGAAACTACAAATCCCATAAGGCCTTGCAAGCCACAGGCATGACTCCCAGAGGCAGAAGCATGGGATTTGTAGTTTCAGCACAGCTGGAGAGCCAAGGTTGCCTACCCCTGGTATAAACCAATGACAGGCTGGGAGGTTCTGTATGGAGTGTCTGCATGGAGTCAGTACCTGTGGTTAAGAACAGATGAGCACTGTGGGATGCAAAAGGTCTGCGTGCAGACCGCTCACCTGTCCCTAGCCACATGTAATTGCTTATGTAGTCACAGATGGTGACATCCTGTCATTGATTTGTACAGGCTTCCTGCCCGCAGCTGATCATAAACACCTGGCCATACCTGCTGCAAAGTGTACGCTGTTTAAAGGTCCCCACACACCTTACGATAATCGCGGGAAATCCTGCGATCGTACGATTATCGTAAGGTGTGTGGAAGCCGTGCGACCTCTACTACTGTAAGGTCGCACGACTTTTAAGTTACGGACTTATTCGAAAACCCGCCAAGCATCGTACGATGTTCGGCGGGTTTGTGGCATGTTCGTAAGATAAAAGCCGTACGGACCGGTGTGCGCAAGCGCACACTGCCCGTTTGTCATTGCGGTCATCGCTGGCTTGCGATCATCGCAAGTACGATCTGCCTATGCAAGATAGGCAGATCGTACGTTTTTTTAAGTACCTTACAACCATCGCAGGACAAAAGTCTTGCGATGGTTGTAAGGTGTGTGCCCAGCCTTAGGCGGTGTACACCCATGAGCGGCCGTGTGAATGAGCCTTCCAGGTTCACACTTCCCAAAGCTGATATTTTATTCTTTTTTTGGAACATGTCACATGCATCTCCTTGGGACTCTGGTCGTGTGATCTCAGGGACTCCATCCCTCCTGCATCCATTACAGGGAGGTCCATTTATTCCCATTGGAAGCACGAGTAAAGACAAAGTTTTATTTTTGTTTACATTTTAGATAAGAGTAGGGAAGAGTTAAACCCCCTATCAGGCTACACTTTGCTGGCTGTGTCCTGCTGGGTACATATCCTTTCACTTTCTGTCCTGGAGATGCAACAGGAAATGAAAGTTGTCACTGGAACAGGTGTCTAGATTTTCCCTTACCTTTTTGCTCTGGTGACAACTCACTTCCCCTCATTTCCTGTCTTGGTGACAGTGGTCACCAAGATAAATAGAGCATAAACCTCCCGAGCAGGGACACAGACAGCTATAGAAACTTGGCAGAGGTTCTAACTAGGGAACGCACCGATACCGGTTACTCGCTATCTAGTAACGTTATTTTTTTTCGCCACTCGCCGATACCGGGTACCAGTGCATTGTGCCCCGATTATCAGGAAGTTGGGCGGCGGATCATGGCCTGTCGCCCGGCTTCTTGAGTGCCTCTGAAGCCGGCGATCTAGCGAAAGATCAGAGGCTGTCTGGCTTCCTGACCAATCAGGAAGACGGGCGGCGAGTCATGACCCACCTTGGCTGGGAAGCTGGCTTCCCTTGCTCCTAGGCCAGGGGTAGGCAACCCTGGCTCTCCAGCTGTGCTGAAACTACAAATCCCATCATGCTTCTGCCTCTGGGAGTCATGCCTGTGGCTTGCAATGCTTATGGGATTTGTAGTTTCAGCACAGCTGGAGAGCCAAGGTTGCCTACCCCTGGCCTAGGCAGCCTGGCTTCCTGACCAATCAGGAAGCCGGGCGGCACGTAATGGCCCGCCTTCCTGATTGGTTAGGAAGCCAGGCTGCTTAGCAACATGTGAAGTTGGCTTCCTAGCCCATCAGGAAGTCGGGCGGCACATCATTCCTAGTCTTCCGATGGGCTAGGAAGCCAGCTTCACATGTTCCTAGGCAGCCTGGCTCCCGGACCAATCAGGAAGCCGGTTGGAAAGGAAGCCGGCTCCATGCTCCCTCGATCAACAAGTGACAAAAAGAGAAAAAAGCCCAAAAAGCATACCAATGCAGCCGCCCCATCTAAGGACAGGTAAGCTGTGATACATTACGTCTCGGCTTTGGGTTTAGATACACTTTAACCCAGGGGTGGGCAACTCCGGCCCTCCAGCTGTGCTTTAACTACAAATCCCAACATGCCTCTGCGAGTATGCCTGTAACTGTCATTCTTGCAATGCCTCATGGGACTTGTAGTTCCACAACAGTTGGAGGGCCGGAGTTTCCCACCATTGCATTCACCTAAACCCTGGAAGTGAGCCCGTTATAGTTGTACTGACCCGCTCAGTCTGAGCACCTCGGCCAGGTGATCGGCTACTAATACGGCTCTCAGGTGGCTGAGCTTGAAGGTGCCTAGACCGGTGCAGGCGTGCAGGGGGACACAGTTCAGGATCAATGCGGCCTGCACACCCTCCGAGGAGGACGGAAGAGGCCGCAGATACGGTGTGAAGTCTCTAAGAATACGAGAGAATGTGTCAGGTCTGTCCAACTGGATGACGAGTCCGGCGTCTGTCAGCTGACATCTCTTCACAGGGAGAATTCCCGGAACATTCAACGTTGTCAGCTTCTGGATCAACTCTGCTGGAACCTGAGGAACAAAAACCACACTTCAGTTTGCTGGAAGAATTCAGTACAATCTACAGTCACTCCTAAATCTGACCTCCGGCCTCCCCTTCAGTCTTATATCTGACCTCCGGCCTCCCCTTCAGTCTTATATCTGACCTCCGGCCTCCCCTTCAGTCTTAGATCTGACCTCCATCCTTGCCTTCAGTCTTAAATCTGAACTCCGGCCTCCCCCTCAGTCTTAAATCTGACCTCCCATTCAGTCTTAGTTCTGAACTCCGGCCTCCCCTTCAGTCTTAGTTCTGAACTCCGGCCTCCCCTTCAGTCTTAGTTCTGAACTCCGGCCTCCCCTTCAGTCTTAGTTCTGAACTCCGGCCTCCCCTTTAGTCTTAAATCTGAACTCCGGCCTCCCCTTTAGTCTTAAATCTGAACTCCGACCTCCCCTTCAGTCTTAAATCTGAACTCCGACCTCCCCTTCATTCGTAAATCTGAACTCAGTCCTACCGTTCTTTTTGCACATCGCACTGGACCGGAAAGGAGGCACTAATGTGCCACGCGATCGGGTGCCGGCGATCGCACTGCGGGCGTGGTTGCGGTGCCATTGACTTTAATGCACCGCCATGCCCTCTCCCGCCCCAAAACAAAGTGAGGCGGCCGGGTTGCATTCCAGAGGCCGAACGCACTGTTTATGGTGTGACTGGGCCCTGAAATGGCTTCCTCTGATATCACTGCAGCTTCCCACAATGTACATTAGAAGCTGCAGCAAGTCACATAGAGCCCGCCTCATTTCCTGGCTGGAGGATGTCCAGCGTCATCTAGCGCTTTCCTCGCCAGTCTGACTGTCCCCGGTCCCACCCCTTTCATTCATTGTATTTCAGTTTTTTCAGTCATGGAGGCTCAGCAACACATGTGGGTGTTACCTATGAAAATGGAGCTTGCCCAGGAACACCCACTCCCCCAGACTGACATCCATCCGTCAAGGCATTTTGATGCAAGCAGTGGGCTGGCTCCTCCCAACAGTCAGCCCACTGCTTGCATTAGGGCTCTTTAGAAAAGTACTGAGGCAGGGTGATGTTTTCAGGAAGAAATGTACATCACCCTGCCGTCCCCTCCCACCAACTATGATCTGCCAGCATCGCATAGAGAAGGACAGACACCCAGTGATGACATAACTAGGTCATAACTAGGCTGACATAATATAATAATGTATGTAATGAACACTGAAAGGTTTTATGCATAAATGTCATGATAATGAGGGGGGAGGGGCTAAGGAAGTAAATTATCAGCAGATTAAATTTCGGCTTTAGCTGAAACGTAACTGAAAGAGATCCGGGTGGTGTATTCTACAACTTTATATGATGGAACTATTTTTGTTTTACTTGAGGCTTTATAATTGGTACTCGCCGTTTCCTAAAGCATGATAGCAGTGATCTGAGTGAGGCCTCTGTGAAATCATTGTGACGGACTTCCCGTCTGTAATAATCCCGTGCGGACTTCCTCCATAAATCACAATTTATAATGCAGCTGAATCATCTGACAGCAATAAAATGAGTTCCTGATGTGGAAAACCCTTCTATAGAGAGCAGTGAAATGCCTCGAGCAGTGTTGCTGCTTGCAGAACGCTGGGACAGGGAGTTCTAAGGTACATTTTAAAAAAAAGTGCTGCCC